ACGCACCCGAAGTGTTTCGCTACCTCTTGCTGCGGGAGGAGCTGCACTACATCTTGTGCGAGGACGAAGCGGCCGCGCGCCCCATGCTGCCGAGGTGGTCACTTTCGGAGTCTTTACTCCCTGTGATGTACGATGTCAGCCGCAGACTTCACCTCATGCGGGCAACCAAAGCGCACGTTCAGCGCCGAGGTTTCGGCAAACACTGCAAGCTTATTGCCGGTGTTTCGGTCGAGCACCTGCTGAAGGCCATGGCCCTGCACGGCGAATCCGCCGACGTCCGCAAGTTACTGCAGGACGACGCGGTGGACCTGCCGCTGAAGCGGGCCTTAGGAGGCGTGCTGCAGGCCACGGCCAGCATCATTGGCATGGAGGGCCATCGCAGCCAGATCAGGTTTCGCAGTCACGCAGCACTACGGCACTCCCCACTTGTTCGTGACTCCGAATCTGGCTGATGTCCGCTCTCCTCTCCTGCTACAACTGCATCTGCAGAACGATGGAGTGGCGGAGGTGGAGGAGTTTGCAGTTGCTCTGGACTGGTCGCAGGAAGCCCCAGACATGCCTACGGCAGCTGCCATGCGGCGCGTAATTGCCCGAGATCCAGTGTCACAGGCACGCTTCTTTGCTCTCATGATGGACATTTTCTTCGAGGAGGTGCTGGGCGTGCTACCGCCTTTATGGCGGGAAAGCTACCGCGTGGGCTACGCTAGAGAGTTCGAGGACGGCATGGCTACCTCCTTGAGCGGCGGCGTCTTCGGCGATGTCGCGGCCTTTTGTGGTCCGCTGGAAACTCAAGGATCGCAGAAGGTTGCTCGTGATTTGGTATCTTTTTGGGTCTCAACTCTTGACACAAACTTTGTCACTGTGTTCAAAAGGGACGTGTTCGCACCTGCCTTACGAGGACGCGGCTCGCTGCACCCGCACATCCTGGTGGTTCTGCTCGGCCACGACTTGGGGTCTCGCGTTGGCCAGATTCTGCGGGGCTTGCGTCAAGCAGAGCCTTGCCTCTGTCGGAATCTCAGCGCTTGCAAGCCAGGCAGCACTACGCAGATTGTTCTGTGCGACCTGTGGAGCCTGACGGGCATGAAGTCTTGTTCATGTTGGAGCCGCCCGAAGCATGGTATGCATCATCGAGATCCACATGCCGAGCCACTCGATCTACACGCGCGACGTGATGGTGGGCAAGATCGCGATGAGCAGGGAGAACCTGCACTGAGAAGTGCATGAAATTCCTCAACTTTTAGTGCCATATTCGAGCTACTGACAAAAAGCGGAATCTGTCTGTGTGCAGCTTGTCGCGACTAGACTACTTGATCGCTAACAACTAACTTGCCTCTATGCTTCCGGGCCACTCGTCGTCTAGTTGTAAGAATCTGAGGTGGGTCGTCTAGTCCTAGTTTGGTCCTAGTCCCAGTTGAGAGATCCTGGGTTCTAGTCTCATTTGGTCCTGGTCCTAGTTGAGAGATCGTTCCTCCCAGTCCTAGATGGGCAATTCATTCACTGGAGAGGCAACCAAAAGGTAGGTCCCCTGGGGGGGGGGGGGTAGCATATATATATATATATATCCTGTGCCTGAGTGTAGTGATGCCTCCATCTGCCTCATAAATCTTCTACTCACTTGATTTGCCAAACTAACATTGGGAATAGCAGAGGCGAAGCAGCTGGGAAGCCAAACAAATCAAGGATGTTGAGCCAGTAATGTCAACATCTGTCCACAAGCTTATCAGCTGTAGACATGAAACTTTGGGGGCCATTTCTTTTCGGATACCTTATTAGAGCTTAAGCTTCCCAGGGAGTTGTGGGACATAGGACTCGACTTGTTTTCGCAGCCAATTAAAGCAAACGAGTGAAGTGGATGCAACAAATGGGACGCGTCCTTTCCCACCGGTAAAATCATCTATCTGGGCCCTATAATTCCCAAAGAAAAAGAATAGGGAACCCCACCAAGTAAGGGACCGTCACGGGAGTTGGCTCGCTTCATCACCGGATTGGCAAGCTCATGAACTCATTTGCGATCTATTTGACCGTGCCTTTCAGGCATCAGTACAATCCTACGAGACCAAGTGCCGCTCCCTGGGTGCTAAAACCGCTGGGTGCTGAATACCGCTGGGTGCAAACAACCCTCTTATTGGGGGTAAACGGTAAGCTCTGGAAAAGTCGGAGAAAACAAACAAAAACATTAATTCCGTTTTAGCACCCGGTGATGGCCCCGCGGCAGTATTTACACCCAAGACTCAAACCCCGCCGCACACAAAATTCACATACTTTTGAAAAGGGACTCAATTACGTCTGGGACAATCCCATGTTGCAGGGGAGCTAGCAAGTTGGCCGCGAGATGCGCTACTCCAGGTGTCTATGGGAGAGGTGTGCGGCCTTTGAATTTGAAGCCATCTACAAAGGGAGCTCCCATTCATCTGCGTTGGGGAAACAAGGGGTTGGGGAAAATGGTTTGGCGTTCCATTCGCTCTTGGATGCCAAGTGCTACATGGGCCACCGTCAATGTCACTGTCTTCCCCGCTGACAGGAAAATTCGGTGAGTTCGGCTCATGTTCGTAGATACCAGTACAGATTTTCTTGGCCATTGCTCACATCTGACAATTCTACATCCAAAAATCGAAAATGAGTCCAAGTCAAGGGCCTGCATCACAGTGAGCTCGCTTTACCCCCAGGCAATTGCAGTGAAGTTTTGGGTGAGGCAACGGGCAGCTTCTGAAGGGCTTAGTCACGGCTCCATTCAGTCGACTCAGTGCTCCCAAAGGCCTCAGAGGAATTTGACCCAAGCTTGTTCAAAGGCAAAACTCTTGTTCCCAGTGTTGCCGGGTCATTGGGAGGGTCTTGGATCAAGTCTTGGGTCTTGGGGATCGATCTTGAGCAGCATGTCCATGCACAAAGGGACGACTGTTGGTCAAGAAAGGCGACTTCGGAAGGAGCCAGTCGCTACACCTGGTCACGAATGCCACCTTGCTGGAATTACAATTGAACAGCTGTCAGCACACGTCAACATCAGAGAATTCAGAATCGATTACCCACAAACCCGAAGAACGAGATCCCACAAACAGATATATATATATATATCATTCATTCATTCATTCATTCATTCATCATGGGGAATCTGGTTTTGCCCCCGGCCCTTCCGGAAGCTGCGCAATGGTGTCATTTATTTGGACATCTCTGCATCCCTCGCACCGCAAGGGAGGGGGGGGGGCCGGGCCTGTGGGATCACGGCAAGCTGCAAGAGCAAATGCTAAAGGAAACTGAAGGGAGCCGGAGACGATAAGGAAACATGACTGCCAACAAAGAGAGGCAAAAGACAGGAGGAGGACCTATCCAGCAGGAGGAAACGAGCATGTGACTCACCTGACCCCTCTGATTCATACCCAGCGGCGCGGGGACAGTGTCAGCCACCGTGGATTACGCGTGGAGAAGAGCGTCAGCATCTTGCCTGACAGGGCCAAAGGTGCCGAGGCCTTGCGAGCTATTGTATCTTTTCACCAAGCCCTCGGCATGATTTACTTGTGACGTAGCTATGCACGTATATATATATATATATATATTTGTATATCTGTCATTGTAGCATACACATGGTGCACAAATACATGATAATACATGTAGAAGCTAAAGACTTCACTGTGCCCATGGTCAGGGATCTATGTTCATAATATATTCACTGCCAAAACGGATACTCAACGATATGTGCACGGCGTTCTTCGCCCGACTGCGGCCGAAGCGAGGGCTTTCTTGGGGCTCTGGCGCTCCGAGGTTGCTTTCGCGAGAGGCTTGAGGCAATGAATGCGCAGCGCTTTTGCCAGACGCAGATGCGGGTTTGAGGATCGTTTCTGCTTTGCGTACGCGGGAAAAACAACCTGATGTTTCGACTTGTGAAGCTATGACCTGGGGTTTCAGGGGCATGGGTAGAAGCTGAGGGGTGTTGGGAATTTTGCACGCCCGCGGAAACCTGAGTTGGGACTGGTTTGCTTGGTTTTGGAAAAACAAAGACGAGGAAGGCACAAAGAAGGTGACCAGCAAGAGGAAGAAGATGTCATCGCGCAATGGGACCAACATGGACCAACTGGAAGAACACGAACAAGTCGACAAGGAAAGGAACAAAGTAGACAGCCAGCGGAAGTAGCCATCTCGCAACGGGGCCAAGCGCATGAAGACGGACGAAGAGCAAAGAAGCAAAGGCAAAAGGCCACAAGAACAAAACCCAACCACGATGCTTTTGAAAGGTTTCTTTAGCAACTCAGGTCCAAGAAGTCGGTTCCCCTCAAAAACACTTAAACTCCCTGAGAAGGCCGACAAGTCAAGTGATATGCCACGAGTGCCGACAGAAACGTGCAGGTCGAGTCAAAATGGCCACTGTCTAGCTTCCTTAACAGGGAGCAAGCAACAGCAGTTCCGGGGGGGAGCAAGTAGACTTCGCATCACATACGGTTTGCAGGTACGTCAGGGCGGTCAGCCCTGATATATGCATTTGATGAGGACGCTTCGTTGGTTCATCGCTAAGTGGATGGTCCCCCTGCGTGAGAAAACAAATGGCCCCTCAACACAAGGACTCGGCACACACACACTTTCGCGGACTTTTGCCTTTCGCCTCCCAGGTTTGCGCCAAGCTCAGACATGAGCTATTCATCGGCAAAACTGTTCTTCGCCACGAGACAAGCACCCAACCTGCAAGCTCCTTAGAACGTGCACAGATTTGTGCTGCGGAAGCTGCTTCTCTGGATCAATTTCAGGATCCTCACGTTCCAGATTCCACTCGTAGGCATCATCCCACAAGAACATGTGCTGACAAACATTCTTCCGATCGTTGAGGTCAAGCATGCGCTGTACACATATATGTATATGTTCATATGTACCTCGATACGTATGTGAAACGCATGCCACAATCCATTTTGCGCGGTCGGTCCAAACCCCTTGACACATACCCACTGCCCACTGCCCACTGCCCAATGTACATCGATCAGTTCCTTTGGGAGGGCACCCGAAACTCGCGCATTCGCCTAGACCGTTGGCGTGCCAGGCATGGGCGGCGGCGGCGGCTGCACCATGATGACCATGCCCGGCGTGACCTCCATCGGCGCCTGGTGGCCGGCGACGGCGCTGGGTCCAGCGGTGGGTCAAGCTGTGGGTCAAGCGGTGAGTCAAGCAAATAGGTTTTGCTTTTTCATGTTCTTATCTTTTTTAAACACATGAATATACATTTCTTGGGGGAGTTTGTTTCTTGGACTTGACATATCCCATATTCTGTTTTTCTTCGGCTTTCGTTGGGGCTGAACCAAACATGGTGAAATGGAGGCCAAGAAGAGCAGGTCTGGGGTTGGATTGAAGGAAGGGCCCCGGGATGGCGGTACACATATTGGCAATGCGGGAGCAAGTGTGCTTTAAAACTAAAGAGTTGGCCGAACACAGGAAGCACACCTTAATGTAAGCCGCTAACTAAATTGGAATGGGTGAGGTACTTAAAAAAAAAAACTAGTCATATTAGGAGTAAGTAAACTACTAGTAGTTGTTCAGCCCCTTGTATTCACTGACTGCCATGACCGTAACGGAGACAGGGTTGCATTCCTTAGAACAAATTTGCTGTCATCGCGGCTTGGTCGGTACTTTGAGGTTCGGAGCAACCCGGGCTGCAAGCCTTCTCAGTTAGGTGATTGTTCATTTGGGGTGTCTTTTTGTTTAGGTTAAGGCGAAGGTGCAAACAAAAAATATGTTTGCAAGATTTGGATGAGACAGTCATAGGTATGCACTTTATATCACTTTATAATACATATGTATTCATATACAAACACATATGTATGACATATATCTTTATATACAAGTAAGGTCCGGCAGAGCCGGGGGGCGGAAGTTTCAAAGCAGTGAACAACTATAGTTTGGAGAACTGTCCTTGGCCCCTTGCTTCTCTCTCTCTCTCTTTTTCTCTCTTTGTCTCTTTCTCTCTTTCTCTTTCTCTTTCTCTTTCTGTTTCTCTGTCTCTCTCTCTCTCTCTCTTTCTTTTTTTCTCTCTCTTTCTCTCTCTCTCTCTCTCTCTCTCTCTCTCTCTTTCTCTTTCTTTTTTTTTCCCTTTCCAAAGCTCCCAACGAGCGCTTCAAGTTCAACTCTCCTCCCTCCCCCTCGAGAGCGCCTTTTCTTTGCGTCTGCCCAAGCCGTGCTGTAGTCTGGGCTAGAGCACGCGGCCCGAAACGCACGCGTGTCAAGCGCAAAAGCTAGGCTTTTCTCTTCGTCTGCTTCAGCGGTGCAGCAGTCCGCGCGAGCGCGCGGCCCGACGCCCGAAACGGCTCGCTAGCTCGGCCCCGCGCTCTCGCGCGCGGCCCGAAACGGCACACCCGCAGCACGATACTGTTTCTCCGGCGGCCCTGTCTGGAATGGCCGGCTTGCCTCGCCTGGCCTCGCCAGTGCGCAAAAGCGAGACCATGTCTTGGCACTGCAGCTGTCGCAGTTCTGCGGCGTTTGCCGCCAGGTAGGTCAACAGGACCTGAAAGCGGTCCTCACTCATGTTGCTGTCATCGCGATCCATGGCGCGAGCAGCCGGTTGCAACGCCAAGCTGCCCTGAGTAGCGGGTGCGCAAGCGGCCGGCCGAAGCACCAACCTCTGAAAAAAAGTCGTATGCGTTGTTGATTTTCTGAGTAGTCTGTAAAAAGTCCCCCTGAGGGGAAACACGGGCGCCACTAATACTGCTTACAGACTGTGACTCTCTGCACAAACAGAACAACACAAAACAACATCCCTTGGAGCGCTTGACTGACTGTGGGGTTGAGTAAAGTGTGACAAGTTGCGTGGTCAAGTGTGAGGTGTGCCAAATGCCCAAGTCACGAAAGTAACTACATTTGAGCCACGTAAAGGACACCCGTGTCTTTCTGCGGCTTCCTGCACTTGGCTGCGAAAGTGGACTTCGTGTACTACTTTCGTACTTAAAAGTTGCGATTTTCGAGCCCCAGCTGTGAAAGTGGACTTCGCGTACTACTTTCGCACTTAAAAATTGCGATTTTCAAGCCCCGGCTGCGAAAGTAGACTTCGCGTTCTACTTTCGTACTTAAAAGTTGCGATTTGCAAGCCCCAGCTGCAAAAGTGGACTTCACGTACTACTTTCGTACTTAAAAGTTGCGATTTTCGAGCCACGAAATCTGTATTTGACCTTGCGAAAGCGCTGCGCCTGCCACGAAATCTATACTTGACCTTGGCCACGAAATCTATATTTGACCTTGCAAAAGTGCTGCGCCTGCCACGAAATCTGCACTTGACCTTGCGAAAACGCTGCGCCTGCCACAAAATCTGTACTTGACCTTACGAAAGTGCTGCGCCTGCCACGAAATCCATACTCGACCTTGCGAAAGTGCTGCGCCTGCCACGAAATCTATACTTGACCTTACACGAAATCTACCTTGCGAAAGTGCTGCGCCTGCCACGAAATCTACACTTGACCTTGGGAAAGTGCTGCGCCTGCCACGAAATCTACACTTGACCTTGCGAAAGTGCTGCGCCTGCCACGAAATCTATACTTGACCTTGCGAAAGTGCTGCGCCTGCCACGAAATCTACACTTGACCTTGGGAAAGTGCTGCGCCTGCACTTGACCTTGCGAAAGTGCTGCGCCTATCACTTGACCTTGCGAAAGTGCTGCGCCTGCCACGCAATTCAAACCTTGCGAAACCTTCGCGCGGCCGTGCCAATGGTCCCGTCTCCGAGACCGTTCCGCACCCGTTCCGAACCCGTTCCGAGACCGCCGCCGTACAGGCGTCGCAGCCGAGGTGGTTTGCGCACAGTCCGGAAGCCCAATTCACGCACAGCGCCAACGTTTTCTGCATCTTGCCATCCCCCAGCTCGCAGAGAGTGCTTGCGAAAGTGCTGCGCCTGCCACGAAATCTATACTTGACCTTGCGAAAGTGCTGCGAAAGTGCTGCGCCTGTCACGAAATCTACACTTGACCTTGCGAAAGTGCTGCGCCTGCCACGCAATTCAAACCTTGCGAAACCTTCGCGCGGCCGTGCCAATGGTCCCGTCTCCGAGACCGTTCCGCACCCGTTCCGAACCCGTTCCGAGACCGCCGCCGTACAGGCGTCGCAGCCGAGGTGGTTTGCGCACAGTCCGGAAGCCCAATTCACGCACAGCGCCAACGTTTTCTGCATCTTGCCATCCCCCAGCTCGCAGAGAGTGCTTGCGAAAGTGCTGCGCCTGCCACGAAATCGATACTTGACCTTGCTTGCGAAAGTGCTGCGCCTGTCACGAAATCTACACTTGACCTTGCGAAAGTGCTGCGCCTGCCACGCAATTCAAACCTTGCGAAACCTTCGCGCGGCCGTGCCAATGGTCCCGTCTCCGAGACCGTTCCGCACCCGTTCCGAACCCGTTCCGAGACCGCCGCCGTACAGGCGTCGCAGCCGAGGTGGTTTGCGCACAGTCCGGAAGCCCAATTCACGCACAGCGCCAACGTTTTCTACATCTTGCCATCCCCCAGCTCTAGCTTTTTTCTGAAAGCTAGCTATATGTCATGCCAGCCTTTTGGAAAGCTATCTATGTGTCAAGCTAGCTATATGTCAAAGCTATCTATCTGTCATGCTAGCCCATTGGAAAGCTATCTATCTGTCAAGCTAGCTATATGTCAAAGCTATCTATCTGTCAAGCTAGCTATATGTCAAAGCTATCTATCTGTCATGCTAGTCTTTGGAAAGCTATCTATGTGTTAAGCTAGCTATATGTCAAAGCTATCTATCTGTCATGCTAGCCTATTGGAAAGCTATCTATCTGTCAAGCTAGCTATATGTCAAAGCTATCTATTTGTCATGCTAGCTATCTGTTATAGCTATATGTCAAAGCAGCTAGCTCATTTAGTTCCAGTACTACGGAAGTTTCTTGTTAAACTTCCTTTGACAAAGATGCATCTACAATGATGTGCAACATGTGGGTATCTCTCTCTCTCTCTCGCGCTCTGCAGCTGCCCGGCGCCTGGACAGAAAAGATGCCGTTGGGACCTCAAGAAAGCGCAAGAGCAAGAGCTCGCATGAAGCGAGCACCGAAGAAAGTTACATGGTTGGATCATACGCCCGACTTCAGTGGTCGATTTCTCCAAAAGGGAACGCCGCGGATGTAAGTCTATCACGGCAACCCCAGTTCAGTGACCCTGACGAATCATCGTTTTGGGACAAGCTCACAGGCTGTGTAGTGACGTGCACTACTGTGTGTGTACTGGGATTCGTTGTTTATTTGAGCCACGGTCAAGATTAATTGTCCCCATCTGACATTGGAATTTGCCGATTCAGCCTGAATGGGGAGGTTGTGCCATCTACATTTACCCAACTATAGTAAGCCATGGACCATGATTAATTCAGTGGCACCTGTCTTGGAGCAGCATCAAGTTGGCCAAGACAGGGTGGCAGTACCCCCCTCCCCCCCGGCCCGCAAAAGTGAAAAACGACCTCCAAAAAGAACACCGGGCCGGTTTAGTTACCACGGGTTCCTACTATTCAAGTGATCTTCTCATGTGCCAGGCCGAGAACCTCAGAAGTGAGACTCAGGCCTTTGATTCCTCGTGTCGCTTGAACTCACAGCTCACCTGCCTCAGACTTCGTCTAGCTGCTAAGTGACCATCCGGAACAATGATATTTGGTTGATGTTGAAGGGAAATCCGTCTAAAGAGAAGGAGAGAACAGTGCTGGGACAAGCGGGAAGCGCACAAAATATCTCATTCAAACAGGACAACGACTTATGGTCCTTGTGGGAATCCAAAAAGATCAATTCGAACAATCGGCCAGCATGAAATATACACACACAGTCAACCGGAAATAACTCTCCGACCGACCCTCTCAGGTTCCGCATGTTGATTTCAAAACTGACTGAATTGAACACATGACCGCCTCTTTCGCCACAGTATATTGATAGGGGCAGTAAAGCCTCAGTTGGGTTTGTAAAAAATCAGGCTACAACTCCAGCAAACCAAGGTTTATGAGGGCGATTCTTGTCCAAATTCGGGCCCCTTTGTGGTCATTATCCGCTCCAAACGGGTGGCCGCTCGGGTGGCACTCGGGAAAGGCGGCCAAATCCTCGACACCCCGCCGGCCTTGTACCAGCACCGACTGGCCCGGCGACACCCCCGGAGGGAACATCCTCGGCTCGCGAGGATCCCCGAAATCTGGGTGTGAATTTGAATGGGGGATTTGGCGGACGTCGTTGGGGCAATTCATGTCCACCAACCACTTTGTTGTTAGTTCCATGTTCAGAATTCATAGCCTTCCAGGAAAGTGGGTTGTTCAAAATGGGAACGCCAATGGCTGTTCTGCATGGTCGCTCCTATCCTTGAATGTGCCACGTGTGTTCAAAGCACAATTAGTCGTATACGGTGCCGTTGGTGAACGCAAAGAAACATGAGGACACCGCCAACAAACAGCTGCCCTCCCTCCCACTAACATTGAGTGTGTATTTTTGTGTAGGTACCCAGACTTCGGGCGGGGGGGGGACTTTAAAGGAACACAGCATGTGTTATGCTTTTGGCGGGGGATTGCATACATACCAGACCAAAGGTGGCAAGCATCAACTGGTCAAGACAAGGAGGAACATCTGAATTCGGGGTGATCCGCATCTGAGTGGGCAGTTCGCCTCTTAGCAGGTGAGTTCCCCGGATCCAAGCCTTTGATGCTTGGATTTATCCAGAGGACCACAAATGTTAGACCACACGTCCAACGAATCAATTCCCGCTGAAAGGCAGGCTTTCCCACCCCTGATTAGTATGGTCAGGATCAATCAGACACGACATCAGTGCAGCATAAGAGGCACTTGAAGAGCACCACTGCCGTCGCCTGCACAGCACGCTCGTAACACAAGAGTGGGCTTCTCAAGTAGCGCCTTGAGCCTTTGGGACATTGTTGTTTGGTTCTGCCTTCTGGCCTTTAAATGCATTCAAAGGAACATGAACGGCATGTGGATGTTAGTGAGTGACATTGCTTTCTGCAGGATCACTGACTCAAACGAGCCTAAACGGGGTTTTAAAAAACGAATTCCAAGTTGCACCAAAGGACAATTATTCGTGCAGAATACTAATCTCCAATGGAACAAAACACTTTCAGGGTCACCCGATTGATCGCCTGCCGTCAAATGCCTCCCAACGAGGCCGAGAACGTGCTGCCGAATGCGGTTTGTTTGGGTTCCGGGGAAAAGGGGTTCCACTCACAGGTCCCTGGATCCCTAACAACACTAGATGGTCGGTCACTTGGAAACTCTGCAGCCTTTTTTTGTTGGACCTATGTGGCCGTTTTGGGCTATAGAAACAATCTTAAAGGGTACCCTTAACAAAAAAGCCACACCCAGGGGAATTCCGGTGGCTGGCCTTGCGGCAGGGCGGTGATGGGGAGGTTCCAGCCCAAGGGCGCTTGCACCCCTTGACCGAAGACCTGAAGGGATGCAGAGGCAGGTCCAAAGATCCAGACGAGGCCCACAGGATCCAGGGAAAGACAAATGGGCAGAGCAAGAATTATCTGTTGTGTGTTCCTTTCAAGGGGAGGAAATAGAAGGCTCACCGGAATCATGTAGAAATCTTCTTCGCCACATGGCTGCCTGGTGGAGAGGGGTGCCCTTGTTTACCTCAAGAGGGGAGTGCAAGAGTCAAGCCTGCGTAACTGTTCAGGCTCGTGGGTGCACAAGGTGTGACACATGAATCCTTGGAGTGGGTCTAACAGCAGGTTTGAGGGGCAGATCCCAGTTTCTCACTTTCATCCCCAGAAAGGGTCCAAATTCAGATGAGTTCATTGGTGTGTCTCCGTTTTAGGATTGGTTTCAGGCAAACCCACGACCACCGTTTGGTTCAGCTCCTTGGCGCCTTGGGGCCCGGAAGGCTACACGCGCAAAGTCGCACGCCTGGTTGACAAACAAAGCCTGTCTTGGCTGCTGTCAAGGTGGACCAAGGTTTCTGCCAGTTGCATAATGATTTGTTTGTGAATTGCATAATCATTATCTTGATTCAATTCTGCAACTGCAATTGCCATTCAACAGTCTCTGACAATTGCACAATTCTGTGATACCGTTTGGACAATGGCCTTACCGACAAGTTATGTATGGTATCAGAGAAGTGGAACTATCCCAACATTCCAACATCCTACAAGCTCAAGGTCCGCTTCCCTCTGAACGTACCACGGAGTGTCTTTGATGGCCAAACAAACTCCTTAAGGTTGCAGGCGATCGGAAACATCTCTTGGGTAGAAGCAGCATGGACCGAGTCAAGTCGCCCAAACTAGATGTTCTCTCTTTTCCTGGTGGAAAATTGGGGGGCCCCACAAGAAACACGAAACTCTCTATGTGGGTCCCTTGTGCTTGATGGGAAGACCACAGGTGAGCCCAAGCGGGCCAGTTCTTGGTGTGACAGACGTTGCTCCTTGAAACATCTCCTTGAATCCCTGAGATGCTGTGGAACCCACAGGTGTGCAAACATATGTCACCATTTCTACACAGAACTAATTGAGGATCATGCATGGGACATGGAGGGTGCAATCGTTGCTCAAAAGAGCGACGGATGGTGTCGCTTGGATTTTGGTGCGAAAGCATCCCCTAGAGCGCCCCCATGTGTGACACACACACACACACGTGCGCGCAACGCCAAATAAGCCCTCAGCATCATGCCTATGAAACAAAGGAGAAAATGAAGTCCTCACACTAGGTAAGCCGGAACAACCACTTGCCAACATAGGGCATAACACTCAGTTGCGGCCAAATGGATACTAAACATGAGGTGTAGCAATGTATAACATTGCCCATCCCCTTTTGCCTTCGTATTTGGGAAATTGACAAGGGTTGCAAATTTAGCACCCTGCTAGATACTGGATGGTGCCACTTGCCCAGTGACCCTGCTAACAAAGCGCCACCTTTTTGGGAAAGGCATGCAAAACACTCCAAGGCTGGCTACACCTAATTGCTGGGACTGTCCCTGTTCCTCAAATTATGTGCGCTCTCATTTCGCCATGAGCGCGCTATGTCAACGGTGCGCCTCTTCCATGGTCTGCTGCGTGGGAGGGTACTTCACCCCCTCCTTCTTCGCAAGTTGATCCATCTGCACGCTCAGCCTCGGATGCGCTTGCCCGCGCCTGCAAGATCTTTGAAGTTTCTTTGCTGCGTCTGCTCCGGTTGCAACCAGCATTCCCATGGACAAAACTGCGCAAGTTGGTTGCTGGATGTTGAAAGGAAGCCCAACCAACAAACAACTACAACGACATGCACAGACATACACACAAGCATACAAATATATACACACACGAACATATAGTTACACAAACATCAAGCACGACGTACAAACACCAGAAACAAGCCTGCATTGTAGCCAAATGGGACCATCGCCCAAAACTAGCCAGGTGAATTTCCCAGTGCATCTAGTGAATCCGTAAACCTGTGGGCAGAAGGCTCATCTAGAGGGCTACCATGACTAAACATGGATGTCATACATTGTTTCAGATGTTTGACAGTGACACATGATCAAAAAGACAGTGGTTCACTTTGGACAACTGACTGGGCAGCAACAAGGGCAACCACCTTGGAGGTGCAAGTGCGCAACACGGATGTGGCTGAGAGACAGTTGATAAGCTCAAATCACGAACACGTGACTGTACCCTGCGTGATTCGTGAAGGCGAACCTTTGCGGATGCATGTTTCCGGAGCCATGTGCACAAATATGTTTTTTTTCCCTCGAAGGGCTCCGGCGTGGTCACCCGGCGACTGGGCTCTGTAGAAAAGAACAACAAAAAGCCAAACACAAATCACGCAGGGGACAGCTCATGGACGAAGGACCCTATCTTCTCCCAGTCCTGAGTTCCGCCGGCAAAACAGGCCCAAACTCTCGTGTGTCTCCACCCTTTTGGCCCTTCAGGTCGAGCAACTTGATGATCTCGATCATGAGATTCTCCTGAAATCACGTTCTATGAAGCTGGCAACCGTGGAACACATCATGAAGAGGCTTCGAGTCATGCCCATGCGTGGCTTACTTTCGGATTCCAAGTGATTGGTTTCATGGTGGGCCTCGCCTGGTGGGCCCCAAACACATCAGGTACAGGAGCTGATTGAATATTCACATGTCCACGTCCCAACGGAAGAATCCACAAAAGTAGCACAACAACTGTCTTGGCAGCTCCCTCTAATTGTCATTGCACAAAGAGTCCTGGGCCATTCGCCATGACACACTGGTTCATGACATGGGACTTTCAGGGCAAAATTGTGGACTGCACGAATAAAACAGGGGGGTTCATTCAACCTCCGTAGTCTTCCTTTACTTCTCATGACTGTGGAAAGTTGAAACTTGGGACGTAGGTAGTCGATTTCCTTTTGTTCGTGAGAAACCATCCGACACGAGCTGTTCTACTTTAAGCAGCCCGCCGGGATGGGATGATGCTTAGCACGCCAGCAGTTCTTACTAAAGTTGTTTGGTATGCGTCGGAGTCCCAGACCACCCGGCAACTCATCATGAAGACTTCTGGTCAATCCATTAAAGGGCCGCCCACACAAAACAACGCTGGGTTGAACAAACCAAGACATATACCTTCCCTTGTGCTGTTCAGGGAAACTGCATTAGCTGCCATCGTTGATTTTGCACCCGGGAACCCTGAAGCACAATCTGTTGGACCAATATAAACGGAACAAAATCAGCACAAACTCCCTCTCAGGTGTGATCGCTGAAATGACAACTGTCTGTTCAGAGATGACACAATTTGCTTTAATGTCTGCGAGTGTACTGGGGTAACTGGGGTTGGGCCACCTACACGTTAATGGTGTTGGGAAAACAAACACAGCTGCCACAGAAGATTCCGTGTGATTTTGAGGTTTGTTGATCCTGTTGGTTTCTGCAACGGGCCGGTGTCGGTCAGGTTTATTCATACAAGTTGGATGGTTTCCCTTCGTGTCCCTTCAAAACAACCCCCCAACAGAAACTCATGTAACCCTCTCTTTTGGCACAGTCAAAGACTTGGGTGGTTCCCCTCTGGAAGCCAAAGGACTCAAACACTTGGGCTCTCCTGAATTGCTCTTCAAAGCAACCTCCCTCAATTCAGAGCCCAGTTGCCAGGGTGTTTCTCAAATGGTGGACGCCTGTTTGGTTGGTCCTTTATGGAAACTAATAGGACACCCTCCATTGTAGGGGACCACGATTTTGAGATACACCCTCCAATCCCCCTTCTAAATCGCTTTCGAAGTGGCAGGTCCGTTTCCACGTCATGTCGCGGCTACCCAAAGCGGCCCGGCATGAAGGGATATAATGAGCACAATAAATACGAATAGCTACCCCTTTCATCAATCACTAAGTTTGGCCTTCCAGTACCCCAGAACCAATTCTATTTAAATGATTCAATTAGGCCCTGATATATAACATGTATGCAAAGTCCTAAATATCCTGCCTGCATCTGGACCTGCGCAATGTTGCCGCGGGTCACCTGCGGAAAAAAGTCGACAGAACCCGCCAGTGATATACAAAAAATGCATAAGATTAATAACGACTCGGCAGGTGTCAAGCGGCATGGGCATTTAGTGACTGTTTGTTTTTCATCTTTTTCCGGAAGCCAATCACCACTCAATGACAATGACATCATCAGCCACCGTCAAGTTTCACTGTCTCACCCAATGACATTGGAACACTCAGTTCACCCCTTTTTCGGGTCTGTCAGGCCATGACCATGGCTCGAGTTTGCCTCGCTGACTATAGCGCACGGCAGCAGATGCACAGCAGAGCATCATAATATTGGCCCATCCCCAGCATACAAAAGAAACTGAAATCTTCAGCCTCTGTTTCATGCGGGAGTAACCAACTGTAGGGGACCCACTCACACTTGGTCAACCAAAAAATGAGTAGTGATATCACTGCGCGCCGCCAACGCCGCCAACGCCTCCGTTGACTCCGCACAATTCCATTCCAAAAATTACGGGACACCTTGAAAGAGACGTGGGAATCGAGCTTCAGAACATGGAGGTGGGGGTGGCTTATTGACCCCGGGAATATTGTGGGATGGACACCCCCCCTAGACGACCCTTGCCGGCCTTTCGCTTCTGAAGCTCCTCGGCGATGCCGTCCACCTCCTGTTTCGTGGTTAAGCGTCGATGGACCAGCTGGAGGCTCCGCATGCGCCAAAATCAAGGGGACCCAAAATCCCCACAGCATGGTGGTGATTTTCAGTCGCATTCCCTTTGAACCGCTCCAAAACATGGTAGACTCACAAAACAGAGTGGTGCGTTTTGCACCACAGCAAGCAAAAGGAAACAAAACATTCTGAGACATCCCTCTATGTAGGAAATCAACCGAAATCAACCATACCTCCAGCCTGCTGAAGTGGGGAGGCTTGCCATGACTAGAGCCTGTGCCATGCATACAAGTTGGATTCCCGCCACGGTGCTTGTATATGATTGGACAGTACGGTTGAAGCATGCAGCGGACCCGAATGTGCAAGAGCTTGGCGCGTTTCACATCTGAACATGCCTTGATATATATATATATATAGTTCATCTTTTCCGCCTACGGAATCACCAGCGCAGGGCAACAAAGCACGGGGTTCTCACAATTGGGAATTCCCTGCCATCAGTGGCTGCATGTTAGTTTTCCTAAACCTGTAATAAACCTGCCCAATGCAGCTCACTATGTCCAACACAAAAATTAAAGGACATGCAGAACAAGGGATAATTTCTACTGGAAATTAAGTTAAGTTGCTCCTTCATAAACCAACATTAGGTCCCGCCGAAAAAGGTAGGAAAAATGCAAAATAAATGATATCAATGAACAAAAATGAACGGCAAAGTTTGCTGGGTCTCCCCCGGAAAAGCCAACGAGCAAACAACAAGTCGATTTTTGCACCCACCTGCTTGCCGCACCCGAAGCCAGGCATGATGGTGCCGCCGTTCTGAGCAAGGAGCGCTGCGGCGTTGGGAGGGGCGCCAACTTCTTTCCATGGGAATGGCGGCTTGCCCACGGGTGTGTGTGTGTGTGTGGGTGTGTGTCTATATGTTCTTGAGACTGGCCTTTTTGAGGTTGCTCTGAAGGGAAGGGTCTCCCCTAGTTTCACACACACACACACCCGCACACACCTGGTTGGGTAATGTAAGGTAAGTATTTCGGTGCTTATATCAATAGGGAGTGCCCTACTATCCTCCGCGACCGATTTCTCTCAAAAACGACAGGAAAAACACACACACATCGTCAGCAAACAAAAGAACACCGGTGCCCAAAGACGGGTATGAGAAACAACAAGGGTTGCGAGGGCTGCCTCTGTTTTTTGCTAGGTCCGCTAACGCTAACCCCCCCAATCCCCACTCACACAGGCTTTTTGCCGTACTGAAAGGTGGGAATAAATGAAGGGAACATATTTTTGGACCTGCAACAGGTTGGAACTGACATTCCAATGTGTAAGGTCGATTGGCTTTGGCCAAAACATACCGCCGGAGAAACACACATCTGATTCTTCTAGCAACACCAAAGGAATACCAACAAGCAAGCTCAAAGAAAAACACACCCATCAAGGGAAGCTTCACAAGGATATTCAACGACAGCTAATAACTATGCACACTCATCAAAGGAAATGCAACAATCACGTCCATAGTGCTGGAACTAACTGAGCCATGCCTCCTTTGAGAGATGGGCGCGCGACGTCTGAAGCAGCTAAGATAAAGCTGGACAATGCGAGAGCTGGGAATAGAACAACACTGTATGCGCACTTCATCAAAAGGGCAACCATATAGGAGAGAAAGTACCGCCACACAACCCTCAAAGGCGGGTTGCGAGGGTCAAAATGTAAACCACTTTGGACGGAAAGAAAAACCGAAGAAACAAAAAACAACTCCTGAGCCATTCATTTTGGATGCCTCGCGCACGCCTTGCTCTGCCAAGAATCCGTCCCCACACTGAAGCAATTGCCACAGCACAAGGTTTCCACGTCCACCTGGGCCGAGGGCCAAGGGCTGGCACACATAAACCTTGCGACCTGCTTGAGTGGCTGAGCCAGTGACCAAAGCTCTGGTTGATTTCTTGGGTCCTATTTGAGAGGGACCCCTTCATTTCAGGGGGGAGTTGCAGCCGACCTAGGAACCCACCAGGCGAATATTAGGAAACCGCCCAATGTTCTTTGCTGGTGACTTAGTGAAACCTAAGACGGAAGAATCCACGGTTGCTTGCTTTTCAGACCAAGGCAACGCAACCAAGCAACTGTGGTCGTTCTTGCTCCGGTTGTAAAATTTGAGCTCACGAAAAACACGCAGCGAAGATGGTGGTGAGGATTAAGAATTTACGCACGAGGGGCCGGAGTTTGACGGGGTTTGAAGCCAGTTGACCTCAAAACCAACTCGGCGTTTAGAGGTGCCTGCTTGTTGTCCGACAAGATTGGAAAAGCACAGCGAAATCCACTGGCAGCCAACAAACTTGATAAAACGCACGGCGACAAACAACCGCTTCCAGTTGACAAAGCCATGATTTGGAGTTGAAGGAGCCTAGCCAGAATCAAGTGAGGTTTGATTTGTTCTGTGCTTTCTGTGTAAGATCTTTTTGTACAAGTGCAGGACACGGAGTGCACTTTGGCAGCTCCAGCTCGAAAACTGCAACTGTTCCGTAGCAACATCACTTTGGCAGCTTCAACTGTACTTCGCGAAGTATGCTTTGGCAGCTCCCGCTTGAAAATGTGACTTTTCCGTACCAGTGCAGTACGCGAAGTACACTTTGGCAGCTCCAGCCTGCAAAACCTCAACTGTTCAATACAAGTATAGTGCACGAAGTACACATTGGCAGCAAAATGCAGTTTATGTGCAAAGCGTTATCGTGTGTGATATCGTTGTTGATCAGCTACCAAGTCCGGCCTGTTTGCTCCCTAACAAGATGTGTTTTCCTAGCTGACAAGGCCGCTTCTCACGATGGTTATCGTTGCTCTTGGCTCCTTCTCGTTTTGCAGCGAGACGTGGCAGTTTTGGGCACAAACGGACCCCCCTCATACTAAACTTGAATCGTCGGGGCGTTTATACAAACTCAAGCAATGAACAGGACAGCGGATGACGGCGGCATCTTTCTGGGTTGGGACTGTCCCCTACCGGCCTTCATCTTCCCAGGTTTTGGTTGTGGCTCAACTGGCATGAGAAACAAGCTGGTCCAAACATGTCAAGCACGTCTGAATTGAGCTGATATGAGCTGATTGCTTGGCTCTACTCCCGCTTGACTGCGTGGATCTAACAAGAATTCACCAACCCAAGGCCACAGAATTGGGTTCTGCGTGGTGCCGCTTGGTTTCCATCCACCAAGAATCATAACATATCCAAACAATTCAGCAAACCATACCTGAAAAAGTAGCCTTTGAGAGCTGAAACTAAATTGCCCGAGCATGCTCTCAGTAGAGAGTGGGATCCCTTGTCAGATCGCCCAGCCAGGGTTTCGGGCGCTGCTCGCATCCACTTTCGTAGCACTGGCACCATTTGTAGGATTGTTTTTGGTAGGAAGGCCGAAGAGAAACCTCCCACTGCGGCGGACAATCAAAGGGGTGAAGTGCAGTTGTTCACCGTGCCGCACCTTTTGCCCATGTTGATCCTTTCGGAAAACCTTTACACGGCCCCCTCTTGGTTGCCTGTTGAGACGATGGAACACAAACGGTTTCAATGTTGGGGAAGTCAACAAATTACCCGCGCATTCCCGTTTGGGGCGTAGGTATTCTTTCATCTTGGTTTGCAGGGAGACCAATTGGAAGATGGTGCAGTTTTGGGTCCGCCCATTTGACTGGGCTGTTCTTAAAATGGAGGGCTGGCCAATCCTTGTCCACAAACCCTGTGGGAAGATGCGCATAACCCAAAAGGATTCCGTTTCAACAACCCAGATGTTGTTCCCATATTAAGGATTCCCTTTGATACCCTTTGAACAAAAAGGATTCAGGATTCTCTTTGATCGACCCACGCTTTCCCACGTTAGGAGCATTTGGCCGGCCGTTCGCCAAGGGGCTGAGCCCAGCTGGGCGTAGGGCATGCGAGCCGTGCTGGTGGAGCAAAAGTTCTTGTTGGTTGTGGTGACCTCCTCTTCCCCTCGCGGGCAGGCGGCTGGCGTCAAGTCACCTCTTTGGGGTATGCTTGGCGTCTTTTAGGGAACCCCCTTTCGGTTGGTTTTAAAGAAAAACCAAAAGGAATCCTAACATTTTGGGGTTGCCATCCTGAGCGGCGCCGAAAGCGCGGTGCATAACCTCAACTGCCAAACCGCTTTCGGGGAACCTTTAGAAATGCTTTCGCTGCCACAAGCAAAACTTTCGCGGGCATGTGCTTGTGAATGATCACTTCCGCGGAGCTTTCGCAGCGGGTTTGCTTAACCGGGCCATCTACATGGTTTTTAAACGAACAAACCAACATTGCTCGGCGTGTCGGACACCTAAGAGAGGATAGAGGATAACCCCCCCCCCTAACCCCCCCCCCACCCGACGTCTGATACGTGGGGGGGGGGGGCCCCCCCCCCCCCAAGGACCGCGCGGCAATTTGATGACGTTCCACTAAACGTAGTCTTCGGGGACCCGGTGTCGCAAAACAGGGGTCCCAGGCTCGATTCCCCCTGCCGGCTTTTTTGCTGGCTTGGGCTTCCTGCATCCTTTTGCCGAAAATCTGGAAAAACTCTGTGTTTTTGGACATCATCTTTGCGAAAACGCTGGAAAAACAGTGTTTTTTGCGGGAAATACTGGGGAGCAAAGGGGAAGTGCAAGGATACATACATACATACAGACATACATACAGACAGACATGCAAACATACATACATACATTACATTACACAACATCACATTACATTACTTTACATTACATTAATTTACTTTACTTTACATTACATACATACATTACATACATTACATACATTACATACATTACATACATTACATACATTACATTACATTACATTGCATACATGCATACATGCATACATACATACATACATACATACATACATACATACATATGCATACATACATACATACATACATACATACATACATACATACATTACATTACATTACATACATACATACATTACATTACATTACATTACATTACATTACATTACATACATACATACATACATACATACATACATACATACATACATACATACATACATACATACATACATACATACATACATACATACATACATACATACATACATACATACATACATACATACATACATACATACATACATACATACATACATACATTACATACATACATTACATTACATTACATTACATTACATTACATTACATTACATTACATTACATTACATTACATTACATTACATTACATTACATTACATTACATTACATTACATTACATTACATTACATTACATTACATTACATTACATTACATTACATTACATTACATTACATTACATTACATTACATACATACATACATACATACATACATACATACATACATTACATTACATTACATTACATTACACACATACATACATACATACATACATACATACATACATACATACATACATACATACATACATACATACATACATACATACATACATACATACATACATACATACATACATACATACATACATACATACATACATACATACATACATACATACATACATACATACATACATACATACATACATACATACATACATACATACATACATTACATTACATACATACATACATACATACATACATACATACATACATACATACATACATACATACATACATACATACATACATACATACATACATACATACATACATACATACATACATACATACATACATACATACATACATACATACATACATACATACATACATACATACATACATACATACATACATACATACATACATACATACATACATACATACATACATACATACATACATACATACATACATACATACATACATACATACATACATACATACATACATACATACATACATACATACATACATACATACATACATACATACATACATACATTACATACATACATACATACATACATACATACATACATACATACATACATACATACATACATACATACATACATACATACATACATACATACATACATACATACATACATACATACATACATACATACATACATACATACATACATACATACATACATACATACATACATACATACATACATACATACATACATACATACATACATACATACATACATACATACATACATACATACATACATACATACATACATACATACATACATACATACATACATACATACATACATACATACATACATACATACATACATACATACATACATACATACATACATACATACATACATACATACATACATACATACATACATACATACATACATACATACATACATACATACATACATACATACATACATACATACATACATACATACATACATACATACATACATACATACATACATACATACATACATACATACATACATACATACATACATACATACATACATACATACATACATACATACATACATACATACATACATACATACATACATACATACATACATACATACATAC